TTTGAACTCAGGGCATCAGGCTTGCTAGACAGGTGCACTCTACTACTTAAGCCATTCCACCAGTTCTTTTTTGTGCTGGGTATTTTTGAGAGAGGGTCTCGTGAACTATTTGCTTGGGCTGGCTTCAAACTGCAATCCTCCTGATCTCTGCCTCCTGAGTAGCTAGGATTACAGGTGTGAGCCAACGGCACCTGATTAGAACTATCTTCCTTACATCTGTACCTATGTTACCCCATTGCTTAAAACCTATTTGTTTGCAAGATCCCTAATATGATTTGCAAGGCTTTGAACCATCTGGGCCCTGCCTTTCTTTGCAGCCCTATCTTCCATCATTCTTCTCAATAAACCCTGTGTTCCCCAGGTGTTTTTGCAGGTTCAGGTGGTCTTCCTGAACTTGATTCCACTCCCCCATGGCATGAGGCATCCCACTGAAAGGATTGATGAAAACATTTGCCCTGCTAACATAGCTAAGTTGTTAGGCTGGCCATGAGAGACTCAGACTGGGGCAAAGGTTTGTCTTTATGAAGAGTTGAATGTTCCAAATGTTATCCACTTATGCCACTACCTTTTCTAACAGACTAATTCTCATTTAATGAAAAACATCAATTTCATACTTCATGTAAAAACCAACAACTTGAAAATATTTAAGACAATTTTGTTTGGAGGACTCAATGTTCACTGAGCAACCAAAATACTGGAGTCTTCTAGAAAGAGCCCTGGCCTTGGAGCCGGACAGATCTGGTGTCTTCATTTTACCAAACATATAACCTGGGCATGTAACGTAAGTTTTCTGACTTCTGTTTTCTTCTCTAAAAAAAGGGGATGACATCCATACCTTGCATAATTCTCTCTCTCTCTCTCTCTCTCTCTCACACACACACACACACACACACACACACACACATACACGCACACACACACAATACTGGGAATTAAACCTAGAACCTTGCCTATGCCAAACAAACATTCTACTACTTGAACTACTCCCCATGTCCCTTTGTTTTTATTTATTTGTTTTTGAGACTGAGTTTTCTTGTCTACCTCTGCCTGAGCTGATCTCTAACTCAAGATCCTCTTGCCTCTGCCTCTCAAGTAGCTGGAATTATAGGCATGAACCACTAAATGAGATAAAGGATATGAATGATCCTACTATATTTTATGGATTCTAGTATATTTCAGTGATTATAATTGTTAACCAATCTGATCTAAGGCAAAAGGTAGAAATGTTCTTTTCATTCTCACTTGGAAATTTGGATCTGAAAGTAAAGATAGTCCAAAATAATTTGATTTGGTTTGTTTTTCCCTGTGGTGGTCACCCAGTAGTGAACAAGGAGGTAGCTATTGGGAACATGAATGATACAACCCAAATGTCAAGCATGGTCTTTCTACCCCTTTAATATCTAAATGCAATGAGTTTTAACTTTAGTTTTCACATCTCATAACTCCTGTTCTCCACATGATTTCTGCAAATTCTACAAGGGCTTGGGCTGTTATATTTACCTTCACCTCCAGTCTCCTTTTTCAATTAAGACAGAACAATGCTTTACTTTGGTCTGTTCAATCCCTTTGAATACTCTTCCTTACCCCTTACCTCCCACCCCCCATTTTTCAACAGTTTTCAATACACATCCTTATATCCTCTACCTTTACATCTTATGGTATGTGATATTACTGAAGCTCTATCATTTTATTTTCCTTTCCCTCTTTCCCCGAGTTCCCACACCCACAGCATACATTGAGACACCTCTTTGAATATCAACTTAAATATTAATAACAAAAATCAGGACTAAAAAATAGGTACCCATGTGTGTGGGGATACTAGTGGGAGGGGGTATGGTGAAGGAAGGAGATTAAGGTGACAGTATATGGTTGATGGACTTCATATACCTATATGAAACAAAAGTAAAAAACCTCTTGTAGTTGCTTTAAGTGGGGTGGGGAGGGGGGTGAGGGGAAGAGACGATGGGGACAATGTAAATAATCTACGATATAAGTCTAATAGGAATTTTCACTACGAATCCCCCCCTGTATAATGAATATATTCTAATAAAAATTATTTTAAAAATAAAAAACACATCAGGGTAAAAAAAATTAAAAGACAGAACAATGTATTGCTCAGCTTCCTTACCCATGCAATTCTCACAGTCCTCCTGTCTCAGAAAGCATTCCTAATGCTGCAGCCTTTCCTGAAGCCTTAGGAGTCACAGAGAACATCACATAATACTCATGACAAACCACTCATCCCATTTTAGGCATCCCAGTGCCTATAAACCCTTTTGTCCACCTACCATGGGAGAATTTCTTTGGACTTTACCCATGTAACACCTACCCTTGTATTGATTTTCTTACTCATCTTTTTCCTTTCCTCTCCCTTATCTGTCTTTATTACCACTTCCTTCCATTTTGCCAAGTGAATTCCAAATTCTCCTCTTTTTTTAACAGAGCAATTTGGTACTCCCCTCAAACTTACATATCTACATTTAAGGCTGGGAGTAAGACAAAAGAACCTTTTGTGCATTAGAATCTATACTTCTTAGAAAGCAGTTTTGGTTAAAAATAGAATTTTTCTGTTGCATAATAACCACAATGATTCACATTTATTGAGTGCTTACTGTGTGCTTGGCACTCCATCAAGTGGTTTCCAGTAGCTTATTTTCTCATCTGATCTTCACAACAACTCTGGGAGGTAGGTAGCTCTTGTTATTGCTCTTCTGCAAATGAGGAAGGGATGCATATGGCAGAAAAATGAGGTAATTGACCTAAGATCACACAACAAGCAAATGGTGGAACAAGAATTGCAAACCAGGTCTATCTGGTCACAAGCCTGTGCTCTTTCTCCTTTACTACATGGCTTTTTAGGGGAGGGAGAAGGAGAAAGCAACCAGAAGACCTGAGGCCATATAAAAGCAATGCCATCTGTTCTTATATTGTTTCACAACTTTAAAAGTATGGTTTTATATGTTATATCATTATTCCTGTGTAGAACAGATAATCATTATCCATCTCACTCCTTTCGAAATAAGGAAACTAGGACCTTGTAAGAGAAAGGGAGGGAGGGAGCACTTCATCATAGGATGCTCGATATTATAGAGGCTCCAGTAGTGAATGATTAAGAGGTTCACGTGTGACGGTAGGAGCTGTGGCTGAGGTCATTGAAGAGGAGGCCAAAGACTGAGTGTCCAGGAAACTTCATGGCTGCTGAAGGAACCCGGAGTATGGCAGGGCAGGGGCTAGTGAAGATGACCATGATCCAGAGACTAAACTCTTTAATGTCTGAGAATCAGTTAGTGGTCCATGAGGTGGTGAGGGGTATAGGATGGTATGGCTGGCAAGAAAAGGAGAAGGAATCTTTTCTTTTTTTCTTTTTTTTTTTTTTGGTATCACTGGGGTTTGAGCTCAGGGCCTCAGGCTTGCTAGGCAGATGCTTTTACCACTTGAGCCACTCCACCAGCCCCAGGAAGGAATTTTTTGTACAAGGATGGAAGTGACAATGCTGCTCCTACCTCCTGGTGTTATGATTTGTGGGGAGTGGGAAAATCAGAAGCCTTCTTACAGAGAGCTACAAGGGAGATGGTGCCCTGGAAAGAATAAGGTTTCAGCAAAGGCAAAGAAGTAACTTGAGTATTTTGAAGATGCAGCAGGTGAACCAGTGTTCTAGTGGGGGGCACAGGGTTGACAGCCAAAAATGGGCAATGGGAATGAAAGGGCTGACCAAAAAGCCCTTTAGGGATTATGAGTCTGAAGGAGGGGGTAGATAAGCAAAGAGGCTGTCAATCTGGGTTGTTCTCTAGGTTAGGGAGAAACTTCTTAGGGTCATAATGAAACTTGGGGAAAAGCTGGTTTTGTTACCTGATTCAGACCTCTAAGACTTGGGATGGGGGAGGATTGTAGGGAAGAACAATGAATTTAGACCAAAACTGTCAGCTGGCTCTTGTGACCTCTGAAAGACTGAAAGTGAAGTCCACATTAGTATTTGAAGGTGACATGCTAATCACCTCCTGTACCTACTGTTCCTGGCGGAGCTGGGACTTCCTAAAGCTCAGTAAGAATATTTTCCCATTCCATTTGGCAGCCTTCATGCAACTGCTGGTAATGGAGAAACATTGAAAAAAAATTTAAAACAAGGTTGATGACATTTAAAAAGGTTACTCAGATCACTGGTGTAAAGGATGGATTGGAGAGCAGAAATAGGAGTGAGGAAGCTGTTGTTGCCTTTGTCCAGGCCAGAAATGATGAGACCTGAACAAGGGTCAGGGTAATGCAGACCAAGAGGAAGGGCAGGGTGTGTTTCGGTGGTGTTATTGCCAGACACACAGGATGTGGGGCTTAAAGAAATGCATAGGGTAGAGGATCAACGCCATGTTTCGGGCTCTTGTAGTCATCCTTTCTCCCTGGGCTTTTGTGAGGATGCAGCGCCCATCACCATCTACATTATCATCGAAGCTCTCTAATCACCCAGTAAATTCAGTCTATAGAACATGGGGAAAGAATTAATGTAAATAGCCAGGCGCCGGTGACTCACACCTGTAATCCTAGCTACTCAGGAGGCAGAGATCAGGAGGATCACGGTTCGAGGCCAAACTGGGCAAATAGTTCGAGAGACCCTATCAAAAATACCCAACCTAAAAAGGACTGGTGGAGGAGTGGCTCAAGTGGTAGAGCGCCTGCCTAGCAAGGGTGAGGCCTTGAGTTCAAACCCCAGTACTGCCAAAAAAAAAAAAAAGAAGAAGAAGAAGAAGAAGAAAGAAAAGAAATTAAATTACAATCGTTACCCATATATGGCCCCTTTCCCAAGATACCTTGGATTGTCTACACCTGCCAGGAACTGGAGGGTGGGGCGGGTCTAACAGGGCTCCGCCCGTGGGCGGGGCCTGGACGCAGCGGGAGCAGAGCCCTGCTGCTGGAGCCTGGATCTCAGCCCTCGGTAGCTGAGGTGGGAACCGGACCCGCCCCGCCGCGCCCCACGGAGCCCCACTGCGTCCTCTCACAGCTGCCGCCAGGTGCGACAGTCCCGCTGCGCTGTCCGCCAGCGAGCCCCTCATCCCGCCCTCGGAGTCCGAGGTAAGGCGCGCGGCCCCCGCGGGCACCGCTCCGGCCCAGGGACAGTGGGCGGGCGCTGAGAGGGAGCAAGGGGATCCAGAGGAGAGGGGCTTTGGGGCTTGGGCAGAGAAGGAGCGTAGCCTGGGCGGGGGCGTTGAGGGTCTCCCCAGACCGTGGGGGCCGCAAGGGACAGCGAGAAAGCGGGCTCAGGGCTGGGGTAACGACAGGAGGCAACTGGAAGCAGTGAGGGATTGCAGGGGAAACGGGGGGCGCGGGCGGCAGGGAAGCTGTGAGGATCGGCTGAGAGGGGCGGTGCGGGAAGGAGGTGCCCGGTAGCCCACGGGTAGTGGAGCGGGTGCTGAGGATCGAGGGGACGCAGGGCGAGAGCGAGGCGTGGAGGTGACGAGCGAAAAGGAGGGGGGTCCTTTGAGCTGAGAGGAGAGAAGTGTTGAGAAGAAGGGGCGCCGAGCAGGAGGGGGCGTCTAGTCGGGGAGAGGGTCAGGGGACGGAGATATGAGTGTGGACAGCAGGGAGCGGAAGGGTGAGATACCAGCCAAGGGGGTCGCGGTGAATGGAGGGCGATGGGTGGGGCTTGGAAGCGGCAAGCTTGCAAAAATGCGAAGGTGAGGGGCGGGCAGGGTCTCACCAGGAGGTAGAGGGAAGGGGGAGAGAGCTGGAGAGGGCAGTGACCCTGCAATGGGCAGGGGGCGCCTGGGTTCAGGTCCGGAGCGGGGAGGCGGGGCTGGAATAGAGCAAGGTCTGGAAGGGGAGGAACCGTGAGAGAACTTGGAGAGTTCGGGGTGCTGGGGATGCTGGGTCAGGGAGAAGAGGAGGCCAGATGTGGGTTTCGGTGTGAGAGGAAAATACAATGGGGGGTGGGGTGGGGAGGCAGACACGGAATGGAGCCCAGGGACTAGCTGTGCCTTGGATTCTCAGAAGACTGAGGAGAAGGAGCTGGCATTGGACCACCTGGGATCACGGAGAAGAGATTAATGGACAGAAAAATTCACCTACAGACCTACTCTGCTGGAGTCTTAAGTGTGGAAGGGACTTTGGGGAGGTTAGTGTGGGTAGCCTCTGAAAGGTAAGAGACGTGTGGTGGGCTTCCTCATCCCAGCTTCCCAGAATCCAGATTGAAAGGGGTGGAGGACACTAAAAGTAGTAGGGGTGTGTGTGTGTGTGTGTGTGTGTGTGTACAGGTGGATGAACACCTGTTCTGTTTCTATAAATAGAGGAAGACAATGGAAGTCGAGAAAGGCCTTATCTGGGGTGGTGGAAAGTCCTAGTGTGGTGGGAGCCAGAGGAGAGAGGCATTTGGGGAAGGCAGGTGGATCAGGGAACCCTCCTGGCCATGAAGGATTTAATTAGCAGTGGATTAAAGTATGTTTCTATCATAGGATACAATATGGGAAAAGGTAAAAACTTAAAATGATCTCCAGTCCCAAAAGTAAATCTCCAGTTTCTTAAGAATTGTGATATGAAAGGCAACAACAGAAACTGAGAATTTTTAACTATGTTTCCTCTGTAAGCATGGAGCTTATTAGGGTTTTTTCTATCTACCATGAGTACATACAGGGCCTAGCACACAGTTGGTGCTCCATCAATGTTGATTGAATAATTGAGCTGTGTTGGTGCTCCTTCCTCAATTTCTTCATCAACACCAAGAATTGTGAGAATCAGTGTGAGTGAAAAGAGCTTACAAAGTGTAAAGCACTCAAAAGAGAGAGGTCACTGAGATGTTTTTATGCATATGTGCCTCTGTTCTGTCAGCAGTTACATTCAGGCTCTCTTTCCAATCTGGAGAAGGAAGGAAATGACATTTATCAAGTCTCTATTCTGTGCAAGATAGAGTCCCTTCAAAGCAACTAGCAGAATGCTTGGTATTTAGTAGGTGCTCAATAAATGGTAACTATTTTGGTATTGTTTCTCTGGCTCTATGAGTTCTGGGAAAATAGTGGGAGGTGGGCTGGCTTGGGCTGGTGGTGATGGGTTTGAAGTGAGGTCAAAAGAAAGGCTAAATTTAAAGTTAATAGAGTGTGAATTTTAGAGTGGCTGTTTTGCAAGCATGAAGCCCTGAGTTCAAACCCCAGTCACACACACACACACACACACACATACACAAATAGAGTATGATTTTGGGAAGGAAGGGTATATAGTAGAGTGAGATCCATGTTTGCCCAACTCCCTTCTTGTCACCACTGATAAATAAATGATCCCTGAAGGACAGGGAGTTAACTTTTATTGAGCAGCTGCTATGTTCCATATACTAAGCTAATGCATTACCCATGTTATCCACAGTCCTCCCAGCATGCTTATTTTACAAAGAAGGAAACTGTTTTAGTCATATAAAATTTCTTGTCCAGGTCTCACAGCTAATAAATGATACAACTGGAAACTGAATCTATCTTGTTTGATTTGAAACCCCAAATTATTTCTGTTACTCAGGATGGCTTGCTAGAAGAAACCTGAAGCACAGAAGTTAAAAAAAAAAAAAATAAGAGGTTTATAATGCACTCTCTCATGTACTGATTTCAATTCTTACAACAGTTTTGCCGGGAAGCCATTTTAGTCACACATTTTGTAGATGAAGAGACTGAGGCCCGGAGTCTGGCTTGCCTATCGTTACACAAACACTGAGAGCGCTGGGGCTCAACCCAAGTCTCTTGGGTTCAGTCTTGTGCTTAATCTTTTGACTCTATCAAAGGAGAAATGTACCCATTCCCTTCTTCACTATATTTATTGAGTTAATCTCTTCCTGCTAGATTTTAGGACTCTTTCATCTTCTCTCCCTTTTCCTAGCAGAAGGTAGTTTCCTCCTTAAGTGCTTATTCCTGCCTACTAAGAGACTGAAAGGGTTATTTTTGGCAGCAACCCTTAGCGAAGCCATTTCTTTCCTTCCCCCAGTCTGGGACCAGAGATGACTTCCCACATGGTTCCTGGGCATTCATCTGTATTGCTTGTCACGCAGACAGTAAGCTACCCAGCTTTATCATTTTATGTGACTGTCACAAAAGAGAGGGAAGATTTGATCGATGCTTATCTTACAAATGCAGCTCTGCATTTGACCTGTCTACTCAGATCTGCCTCCGGCGGCTGCCTGCTGGGATGCTTTTTTGCCTCTCTTCCAGAAGTCTGTAATCACCCCTGCCCCTCGCCTTTAGAATATTCCCTAAGGGGGCCTCCATCTTAACCCTTCCACTCTCCCTCTCTGTCTCTCCCTGTTTTCACATCACCTACTAGGAAAGCCATGCTACATCCGCATAAGCAGATCTTGACAGTACAGTATGGCAAGTACAATGTAGTAACTGGATGCTCTGTTGGGAATCTTGAATATACTATGGTTTTTATTTTCCTTAAACCCAGGCAAATTTGAGAGAAATTAGATGACAGAAGTTCTGGTCAATCGCTTCTTGGCCTTTTGGCTAAGATCATGTGTAGAAGTTCTTAGTCATGAACTGACTTGCTGTGTGAGCTTAGGCAAATCATTGCTCTTTGTGGAGACTCAGGGTTTTTTGGTTTTTTTTTTAATCTGTGAAATGAAGGGTGGTAGATCAGAACAGGTATTGAAACTTTTACTCTTGCCATCACTCCTGCTCTCACGTTATGGGCTAAAAAATGCAGGCAAATTTCTCATTGATTCTACAAAAGGCTATATGTATTTTTTCAACACATTAAATGAAGCACAGTTATATTTATTCTCTTGTTTAAAATTTACAGCAGTCTCATGAAGTAGGTAATAGTATCAGATGAGAGCACTGAGGCTTAAAGTTTTACTACTTAGAGCCCTAGCAAGCATGAGGCTCTGAGTATAAACCCCAATACCACACACAAACATACACAAAAAGTTTTAGTGACTTCTCCAAGTTCATACATTGCATTACTAGGAAAACTGGGACCAGGAACCAGGCTTTTTGTTATGATAAATGTACCACTCCAAATCCTTCTAATTCTAGCAAAGTAAGAATAGAAAACTGACTATATCATTAAAAAAATTAAAACTAGTAACATAACATTTATATTGGTGGTCTGTTATATAGAAAATGCTTAATAAGTGTTATCAAAAGACATATCATACCCTAAGTTATGGCATTATTTATTATTATAGGTCCAGTGTTGATGGGTGAAGGATGAATAGCACTCCCTTGAATCCAAAAGGGGAGGCAGATAGTTCCTTTTAAATGAGCCCAAATAATGGAGCCCCAAATGAGGAAGGGGGCAGTTGAACAACATCTGACTGTAAAAGTAAATTAAAGAGGCCAGTGAAATATCACTTGTACCCCCGCAGGCCAAGAAACTGTGCCATATTGTTTACATATAGTACTGCTTATTCTATTTGTACTGTAAGTTGGTGAAGTAGATGGCATTTTCCCTATTTTAGGGGAAATTCTCTGGCTTACAGAGCCAATAGGTCTTGCCCAAGAATTCAGCTGATGGGTAGAGCAGTGATTTTAAACTTTCTCACAACACTACAGGGTACTAAGTCTAGTCTCAGCAGTTAACTATGAGACTCGGGCAGATCTTCTTAACTCAGGGATAATAATCCCTGTCCTTTCAACTTTACTACCCAAGTTTATTTAGAAGATAAAAATGAGATACAGAACATGAAACTGAGATGAGAATCAAATCTGTGGTTTAGTAAGGTTGCTGTTTACTCAGCAATTCCACTTTTAGGAATTTACCCCAATGAAACAACTTAGGAAAGTGAACAAAGGCTTATGTAAAGAAATGTTCACAGCAGTTTAATTTATAATAATTAAGAATTAAAAAGCAACTTAAAAACCACTTAAAATTAAAAACAATTCTCTTCTTAAAGAGAGTAACAATATTAAAAGGATTGGTCATGTGATAGAGTCATAGGATAGAATAAAATATAAATGTAACTGAAATGATATTTATGAAGAGTTTTTAAAGTCTCAGTGCTCTCAATTAAGTACATTTTTAATTTACTCTGGCCAAATGATAATGCACTGTACATTCTAGTATATATTTCTTTGTATATGCTCTCAGCTATTAAAATATGTTGAGAAAGTATAGACTAGAATTTATAGCACGGTATGCTGCTCTTTATAAATTAGTAAAAAGTAATAAGTAGAATTCTATGTTTGAATATGCAAAGACTATCTCTGAAGGATACACAAACTGGTAATGTTTGCCTCTGGGTAGGGAAAGTGGATGTTGGGAAACAGGAGTGGAAGGAACATTTACTTTTCAATATAAACCTTAGGTTCCATATTACTTTTTATGCTAAAATTAAGTATATAATTTTATATTCTACATATGGGTGAAAAGTAATACTTGCAAATAGCAAAAGTTTGGCAAATTATTTTTAGTAAGTATGTATTAACCTTTAAATTAACAAATAAGGTATAATTTAAAAATAGATGAAATTCTTTTAAATATAATATATTAGAGGAAATATACTAAAATGTTAACAGTAGTCTTTTTTTTTTTTTTTTGTGGGACAGGGCTTCACCCTTGCAAAGTAGGAAAGTAGGTGCTCAGCCACTTGAGCCACACTTCTTGTCCATTTTGTTCTGTTTATTTTGGAGATGGGGCCTTGCAATCTATTTGTCTGTCTGGCCTTGAACCATGATCCTCCTATTCTCAGCCTCCCACGTAGCTAGGATTACAGGTGTGAGCCACCAGCACCTGGCTGTAACAGTAGTCATTCTCAGTGAGTAAGATGTCAGATAATTTTAAATTTTCTTTTTTATACTTTTATATAAATTTCAAAATTTTAATATTGAGTATACTTTCATAGTAGAAATTTTCTATTGTAAACAAAAAAGATGACTGGCAGCTGCGTGGAAGCTGGTGTGAGATCATTGTGGTGTTTTACCATATTTTAGGTAGAAAAAATATGATTCTTTTGAATTTCCAATTCTTATAATAGATTATGTATCTTGTACCATGCCAAATTAGAAAGTGAAGGTTATGAGACTATTTAAGCAGCTAACAGCACCCTCACCTCAACCTGACTTTCTTCCTCCAAGTAAATGCTATGCTGAAGTCTCCAAGTATCCCAGGCATGTCCCACCTGTCTAGGAACCTTGTCATGAGGTAGATTGGTATCAGGATGAAGCTGAGGGTCTCAAGAAAGGCTTGAGTGCTGGGAGCAAAGAACAGGAAGAACAGAGGCCACAAGAGGCTTGTGGTGATGTATAAAAGAAGTTCTATTAAGTAGCAGTTAATAATCCTACATATTTGCCTGATCTTTCTTCAGAAGAGCCTTAAATCTTCTGCAACTGTCAGCTTCTTGTTCAGCTCATCTGAGAGGTACACAGCCAAATCTACCAGTTTCACTCCTTTTTTCTTTGGGGAGGGAGAACCCCATGAATTCCCAAAGAAAGTGACAACCTCAACATTGTCTCACATTAGGGCTGTCTTTCCACTCTCCTCTCACTTACTTACTCATCCTCTGTGAATAGCTAGCATTGATGTGGAGAAGCAGGGTACCTGAGGCTTTCAAGAGGTAGAAGAAACAACTAAAGACTCAAATCAAATCATACTGAATTATGGGGTTCAGATTCAAAGTGTTATGAGAAAGAAGAAGATTGTGGTAGACATGGTACAAAATAAATATTTGCTGAGTGAATGAACAACTGATGAAATTATAAAAGAAGAATGGAATTATAAGAACTTACTTTCACACCTCTGTGGAATTTATCACTTTATCAATGTCTCAACCATTGTTATTTCATTTGACTCCTGTGATAGCATTATGAAAAAAAATAGGGCAGAAATTGTTCTCTTCCTTTCCTAGATGAGGAGATTGGAGGCTCAGAGTGATGAAGTGACTTTCATTAACTCAGCACACATTTACTGAGTGCTATCATGTGCTAGGATTTGTGCTAGAAGCCAGGCATGCAGAAATGGAGTACATTAAGTCCCAGTTGCTCAGTCTAAAAGAAGGAGCCAGAAGAGTGGGCAGTTATAAAACAACCCAAGTGTCATTAGAGTGTTCTGGGACCGTAGGAACAGGCATGCATACCTCCACCATGCACAGGAAGGAGACACTTGACCTGGACCTACAAGGATGAATAAGAGTTTGTTGCAGGGGGGTGAAGGTGAGGAGCATTTAAAGAGAAGGAATACATATATAAAGGAACAAAAGCAAAAAATACTGTGGCATATTTGGAGTAAAGTGTAGTTTGATATAAAGTAGCACAGGTCTGTGGGGAGAAGGATTGTGGGAAAAAAGCTTAAAGAGTATTCTTTGGTTAGTTGGTTCTTGGTCAAGTTGGATGGTTTAAGCTTGATCTTTACAGTTGTGGAGAGCCATAAAAGTTTTAAAACAGAGAATGATAGCCCAATATTGAGCTCTTCCTCCTATAGGAGACTCTCTTTGATCACCTTGTCTCCAGGATAGGTGAGAAATGTCTGTGGACTTGCTCAGCCACAGGGATTCCCTGTGTTATCACTTACCTACTTTTCTGTTACTTGTGCTTTCCTATTCTTTTATTCTAGTCTGGCCACCCAGACACCATGTGTGATTCATGTTTGTGCTCCCATGACCAGCCTAGGGCTTGCCCCAGAGCAACATGCTCAGTAAATATTTGCTGGAGAGAGGAGTGGGAGGAGCTGGATTCCACCCCAATCCTGAGACATTTAGGGCAGGTATAGTGGTAGGGTGATTCTGAGTGTGTATTTCTTCTGTGATACTGGGGTAGGGAGTGTGTGTGTGTGTGTGTGTGTGTGTGAATGACAAATGATCATTAGGTTGGTGACTCAATCACACTGCAAGGTGTGTTCCTGAGTGACCAGAGGTCTCCCTTGCAGATGGCTTCAGTGACTGATGGTAAAACCGGAGTCAAAGATGCCTCTGACCAGAATTTTGACTATATGTTCAAACTACTCATCATCGGCAACAGCAGTGTTGGCAAGACCTCCTTCCTCTTCCGCTATGCCGATGACACCTTCACCCCTGCCTTTGTCAGCACTGTGGGCATTGACTTCAAGGTGAAGACAGTCTACCGCCATGAAAAGAGAGTGAAGCTGCAGATCTGGGTGAGTCCTGCGAGCATCCTGTGTAGGACTGTCCTGAGAAGTAACTAGCCTGTCATTACAGGGACCAGAAAGTGGAGTCAGCTTGGAACTTGTAGATCTTTTAGCATGAAATGTTAATACTGTTTCAGGTCTGGCCCCTGGCTGCCCCATGTTGGTTTTATGAACTCCTCTGGGGTTCAGTTGTTTATGCTAATTAGTTGTCCAAGAGGCTTTATCTTGGCTTGTATAAATAAAGAATAAGAAAGTTGCTTTGAAGTTAGATACCTGGGTTCAAATTCTACTTCTGCCACTTACTAGCCATGGAAACTTGACTAAATTATTTAACCTCTTTGGGCCACCCTTTCTTCTTTGAGAATTATAGTAGTATCTACATCATAGAGTTTTGTGATGCTTAATGCAGTTCCTGGAGCATAGGAAATGCACAATAATTGTTAGCTACTGAATCAGTTATCTATTGTTGCACAACAAATTACTTAAAAACTGGGCTTTTGGAGTGGCTCAAGTGCTAGAGCACTTGCCTAGCAAGCATGAGATCCTGAGTTCAAAACCCCAGTACTACTCCTAAAACAAATAAGTTAAAAACTTGGTGGTGTAAGATGATTATTTTTCCACAGTTTCTGTGGTTCTAACATTTGGGAGTGGTTTGGGACCTTTCATGAAGTATAGACAGATGTTGGCTTGAGTTGCAGTCATCTGAAGGATTGACTAGCTGAAGGATCCATGTTCAAAGTGCCCTTACTCATATGTCTGGTCCTGGCTGTTGGCAGGAGTCCTTACTTCTGTCCAATTTGCCCCTCTTCATATCTTCACAGAGCTGTTTAAGTGTCTTCATTGCATAGCATCTGCTTTTCTCCCCCCAGAGTGAGAGATCTAAGAAACCAGAAGAAATTGCAATGTCTCTTACATAGCTTTAGAGTGTTCTCTTGGTCACTGACTCAATGTGGGAGGAAACTACACAAAGGTATGAACACTGGAAGGAAAGGATCACTGGGGACCATCTTGCAAGCTGGCCACAGGACTATTACTGGTATTATCTCCTAACAGTACTAATAAAACATTTCAGAAGATAAAAGCAACATGCAGCAATGAATTAGCACTGGGATTGGAAACTGAAAATTTGTGCCAGGTGTGGTGGTACACATCTGTAATCTCAGCTCTTGGAATGCTGAAGCAGTAGTATAGAGTTCAAGGCCAGCCTGGCTGCAGAGTAAGACCCTGTCTCAGAAAACCAAAATAACAGCAACAACAACAAAAGAAAAAAGAAATTTATGAAAATAATATTATGAACACATGTCTTGTTTACTATCTGTCCATTGTTTTATTAAATGTACATTAATATATAGATATCTTATTGGGACAGTCTGTATATAGTACTTTTCTTTTTATAGATTACTTCTCACTGATGTAGTTTAACTACCTCATGGCAAGAATCGATAAAATCATTTATTAAAAGCGCCTATTATGTGCCAGATGCTTTCACTTTCATTAACTGACATCATCCTTGAAAGCCAAGGCTTTCAAGGCACAGAGGTGTGAGAGCACAGGGTATTTAGGGCATAGTGAGCAATATAGTGAAACTGGATCAAGGCCCTGAAAGAGAGGGAGGGGGTGTTGAGAGAGAAATTTGCTGGAGAGGCTAGAAGCAGCTGATTGAGGGTTGAGGTAAAATCAATAACAATCTAATTAGATCTGACAATTGATCCCATTACTTTGCTGAAAAAATTTATCATAGGGTTTTATATGTGTGTGTGTGCTTTTATGTAACAAAATGAAAAATTTTCCATACTGTTCATAAATACATTAACATTTAAACATTTGAATATTACTGAACTTTTTAGATATTTTAACATCTTTTGTGTAAGAAGTAGGTATGTATAAAATCTAAGTACATAATCATATATTGTACTGCTGTACTTTGTATAACACCCAGAACATAATGGTCATTTGCCAGAGGATACATGCCTGATGACCCCTTAGGGAGCTGAAATTCTCAATCTATGAATATAAATACAATGTTTTTACTAGTATTTATTATGTAGATTGACACAAATGTCTTCATTTGACCCCTATATCGGATGATCATGTATCATGTTAGAAAACCTTGAGGAGGCATTCTGCCCTTCTAAGTGGTTGACAGTGGTGGCTCTTTCACTTCTTTGTTCATTTTCAGCCTATTATGAGTTTTTACAGTTATCCTGTGCCTGGCTTGAGTAGATTTATTGATTATACTATTTTGTCTTAACTAAATGAAACCTCACAATGGACATGTAGCTTTTAAAGAGTTCTGTAAAGAAACATCTGATTGAAGACAATGCTAAGTGTAGTGAACCCAAGTGGAGATTTAAAAAAAAATGGCTGAGTTGATATTTCTCCAGCTTCTGGCACAAGTTCGTTGCCAGCCATATGTCAAGGTGAAATCAATGAGGATCTAATTAGATCTGACTTAGTCAATCACATTGCTTAAAAAAATTTATCAAGAGTTTTTTTTTGTGTATATGTGCTTTTATGTAGCAAAATTAAGTTGTCTGTACTGTTCCTAAATATATTAAAATCTAAACATTTAAATATTTCATTTTTATATATTTTAACATCTTTGTGTACAAAAGTAGGTATATATAAAATCTAGGTAAGTAATCATATATTGTGCATGCTATACCTTTTTTTTTTTTTTTTTTTTTTGCCTAAAAGGATATAAGTTTGAAGACCTCTATGACAGACACAGGGGACCATGGAAAGGGTTTTTTTTTTAAAGTAGTACTGGGGTTTGAACTAGGGACTCATGCTTTCTAAGCAGGTGCTCTACCACTTGAACCATACCCCTAGTCCCATAGAAGAGTTTTAACAGAGTCAGTTTTGTATCTTAGAAAAACCCCTGGCTCCAGGTAAAAGATAGATGAAAATGTGGCAAAAACAAACAAAAACCCTGTGATTTGGATTCAAACTCATCAAATTGTATACATTTAATATGTACATTTTTATGTATCAGTTATGCCTCAGAAACTATATAAAATAAATAAAATATTGACCAGATCTAAAAAATGAAGAATGAAAGTCACTAGTGGTTTGGGTATATAATAAAGGCCCAAACCAATGACATTAGTCTGCTTGGGCTGCCATGACAAAGTACCACAGACTGGGTGGTTTATATAATAGTTTAACAGTTTTCACAGTTCTGGAGGGTACATGTCCAAGATCAAGGTGCCAGGAGGGTACAGATGACCTTTTCTCAGTGTGTGGGCATGGGGGAGAAAGAGTGTGTGCAAGTTCCTTGGTATCTCTTCTTATAATAACACTAGACCTACTGGATCAGGGTCTCACTCTAATGAATTCATTTTATATCAATAACTTCTTTAAAGAAGTTAGGGTTTCAACTCATGAGTTAGGAGGACATAAACTTTCAGTCTATATCACTAATATGGTGACAAAATAATATAAGGGATAGAAATGAGTAGGAAAATAATTTACAGAATTTGATAATCAATTATTTGTAAAGGTAGTGGGAGGAGCATAAATATTTACTTTTCACATAAAAGTTCTGTGAATTTTTTTAAAGCTGTGAGAGCTTCAATAAGTCACTTTGCTCCTATAAATACATAATATACTAAACTGTAAAAATCTCACAGGCTTATTGAGGGGGGAGCTAATGTGACAGTACAGTATTGTGCCCAGAACATACTAGGAATGCAAGAGATGTTAGGTTCCATCCTTTCTCTGCCTCCTGGTCCCCATGCAAAAGTCCACTGGATCCCTTTCCAAAGTTTCCCATCTGTGGTTCTAGAAATGCTGGAATAGCACCCAGTGACTCACTGGCATGGTATGAAGTATTCATTCAATTCCTCCACCCCATTTGAGCTCTCCCAAGTGATTTCAGAAAGCTGTTGTCACAGTGGAAGTTAGAGAGGGGAGAAGAGGAGCACTGCTGAGCAGGACTATTTACAATAGAATTTTCTTTGGTCATCTCTGGGGGATATTGAATGATGAGGGCATTAGGAGTGCCTTGTTCCCTGGGATCCCTTAGCACCTAGGTCCCTGAGAACTCCCTGCCTCCTTGCCCCGCCCTGTTACCTGAAAGGCCAATTATTAAGAATCAGAGAAGAAAATCTTACTAGGGAGGTGGGGTTAGGGCAGAAGTCTTATTAATAGGGAGTGAGAGTACACACAAATGTGAGGGGAGAGAGTCTTAATAACTTCACAGCAACAGACCAGAGGCCACTTACTGCTGGTTTGTTGGTTGCCAAGCAACCCTTGGAGACCTGTGGGAAGAAAAGAGAAGGAGAGGCTTCCACTACCTCCATGTGGGGCCCATTGCAGAGGCTGGCAGTTCTGGTGCTGGTCAGCCAAAGATTCTATAGGTCTGTGGTGGGGGGGAAGGACCTGACCTAGGACTCTGGAGTCCTGATTTCTAGTCCTATCTCTGACCTGCAGTCACTATGTGATCTGAATGACCCTTCTTCTCCCTGAACCTGTTTCCCCAACTAACAAATAGAGGATTAATCCTTCTCCTTGCCTCATGATTTGTCATGAAGATCCAATGGAAAAATGGAAGAGAAAACCCATGGAGAACTATGAGGTCTCAAGTAAGAACTGTGAATATTGTCAACCAAGCAAATTCTTCTTTTATGTGCTTTAAGTCATTCTTTCTGTCTTTCACACCTTCCCTCTGACCCAGGGAGGTAGTTATTTCCTTAAAGAAGGGGTGGTTGAGGCCAGAGATGTCAAGTTACCTGGGCAGAGAAAAGTGGTAAACTTCATTGTTTCATTCATTCAATAGACAGTCATCTGGTGTGTACTCTGTGCCAGGCTTTGTGCTAGGTTGGGATACATTCTTTCTGCTCACATGGAAGAGATTGAGCTTTTGTAGGGAAGAAAGACGCTAAGTACAGGAATCAAAAGGATGTCCTTTCATCTATGCTATAGGCCCTGAAGGAAAGAATTGACCAGTGCCTTGGGCACTGGGTCTCAGAGCTTGGGAATTGCTGAACTATGACTTAGGTCTTATC